GATCGCCGTATTTTTCATCCAACTGTTCTACAAAGTATTTCAAATGTCCTGGATTGCCCCACAATCTGTTAAATAAAAAACCGTTGCAATTAGCTATACATGATCGATGACGACTTTAATCTCTCAAGTTTTCATGTTATTTAGTATCGACTCACCCATGCACCCAAACAACAAAATGAATTTCTTTCCCGGCTGCGTCTTCTTCTAGATTCTCTATACCACAAGTCATTTTGAAGTCTAATAATAAGAAAAGCGTTATAGTTGTTGTGCTGCCTGTATTTATAACCTGTATTTATAAATTTTTATGTATCCAGTATTTTCGGCTATGTTACTATTATTATATTAGGTTCCGACGTTCCGAGCCACATTTCCGAGGGCGTTTTTGTACTTGATAAAATATAACGGCGTAACTGCTAACGCTAAGGTATCTAGTTTTAACCGAATAAATCGCAGTACAGATAAGTTTAAAGTGTAAAAAATTACGCGAGTTGATTTAATATATGATTGTTTGCGTAAGGTTTATTAATTCGATTGGTTTGAGTCAAAATACAAATTTGGATAAGAACCTTTTTGAACAATTGATATTGTGAGCACAAGACGTTTTGCGCAATGCATTGATCAATCGTCATTGTGAAGATGTAGTAATTGTTTACGAATTTTCAGAATAGTTGGTCGAGCCCATTTTTGAACAATTGATATTGTATCGCTGGAAGGCGTTTCGATCAATTGGAATTGTTTAATATGTTTCTACGGTTTATTGGCGTTTGGGGTCGTTTACATGCACTAGACATTTAAATCTATCTAGCTTTTCGTTTTTGGAAATGGGTGGCGTATAGGTGGGGCTTTTTTTATGATTACCAAACACTTGGTTGAGATATCATTTTCTAAGTACTGATCGTAAATTAAAATGTAAGTTTACATTTGACCAATAAAAAGCGTTGGAAAAGGTCATATGATAAGAGCAGTCAGTTGGTGATGGAAGCAAAGGATATAACAATTGGATGCAGTACGAACGAAGAAATTTTTAGACTTTTCTTAAACAATAACCTAAGATCCTTGAACATGAAAAGACGATACGAGAAATATAATGTATAGTAAATAAATAATTGTACGGTCGGAAAGTTGGTTATTTAGGGTACATAAATTTTATTCGATGAGATAGAAAATATAATATATAGTATTATGACAAAACTCGCCGGTATTTGATAATTCTATTGTGTACGTTATTTTATAAAAAATAAATAAGTGGGTATAAATTTTGATCGACACAATTGTTTATTGGGTTGTTGTCCAAATTGGTCCAAATCTAATGGGAGATTAGCCGATCTACCGGATATAGTAAGTCATAGGAATTTAACAGACGTGTTCGAAATTCTGGAAAACCATTCTGCGGAAAAACAATATTACATTGAACAAATTTTTTGTTATATAAACGACCTTTGTTCGTATGCTTATGATAAGCTATAAGCCATAAGTAATAAGCTATAAGCTATAAACTATAAGTATAATACTATTAAAATTCAAAGGCCGTTTTGGTGGTGACTATTTCTAAAAACGTAAAAGAGATTAAGCAAAAGGCAAGATCTACATCGCAAAGCAGATACAATTGGTGGGCGCCGAAGCACGTGGAAATAATGAGGAGTTAGATCTTTAAATTATATTAATAAGTAAATCACCATATTATTGGGTATTTTTATGACTGAAAGTGAATAAACATAGTGGCAGGTAATATTAATTAATTAAATATGCTCTTTCTGCAACAATAAATGGTGAAAAAATTATAATTATTTATTAAAATTTAGATAAATGAAGCTGGGTCGAATAATACAAACGATTGTAATGTGTATGAAAATAGTTTATTTTTCGAAATTAACTATTACTATTACTGTACAATGATTAGATTAATCAATTGCAGTAGGTTTGTCTAACAAGTGTAACATGTCGCAAAAAAAACCAGACATCAAATAAATTTTAAATTAATATAGTTGACTCGTTTAAATAATATAATTGCTGTATACAATCTGTATAAATACAATTTTGTTATTAGTATTAGACCCCAGTGTTAATTAAATAATTTAGTATAATCGATTTTTTTATAAAACTGTTGACGTATTACTCTTTATATTCTGAGTAGCTCCGACGGGTACACAAAAATTTAAGCTGTTTTGCTTGCTGTCATATCAGTTGCTACTCAGTGACAACCATGCGGAAATCACATTATAATGAATGCATGGACGGTGGCATTATGTTAAGTTCCATGTGTTTGACTAGTCTTAGTTTTTTTATTTATATCATGACAAGCAGTCTATCCATTTAGACAAGGCATAGTTAGTTTCTTATTTTTCTGCTAATATTTGAAATGTCAGGAAAAAAACATTTAATACTTGTCGCGGGTGCGGTTTGTTACAATTGCATCATAACACCACAATATTAATATATAGACTTTCGATATAATCTCATTGGAAAAAACATGGCAGATTTCCGAGGATTATCAGCTATCAAATATTTAAGTGTCTACTGATTGACGTTGCAGAGTACAAAGCTTGATGTCAAGTGTGATTGTCATTAAGATGGAAAACGCTAACTTTGAGTCGACTATCAAGCGCTCTCTTGCGATTGTAGGTTGAACATTTTTTGTTTGCATTTTGTAGAACTTGTTATCTTCCAAAAATAAACGTCGATATATACGTAAAAGAATTTTATACGTATAATAATTTGTCAGATTCTCGATTAATGGAGCGGTACGCAAGTCTATCGTGATGACTAATCAAAAATTTGATAGTTATGTTTTTTTACTATATTAGTGTTATCATACAATATTAATATTAGCTGTATCAAACAATGCTTAATATGACTTTCACATTTGACAATGACTTTGAACAATTAGAATTTTTGCTAAATGATAAATGTAAGGTAATTTTATTCATGTGATTAGCATACTCATTTGGTGTGAATTAATACAATGTTTTTTTTTGCCTGCTCCACACACATAACAATAATCCAGATTTTCAAATAAAAACAATGAAACTCAAATGCACAGATGGCAGATTTCTATTTGATATGAGATCTCTATGAGAGCTAAGTAAAAACATAGTCATTACTTTCACAAAACAAAAAAAAAAATACAATTTATCTTCTTAAAGTATTCTCTCTATTACTATCTTGGGGTACATTCAACAAATCAGGAGCCATCCAATTACTTTGACCGAAAATATCCAGAATGCTGTGTGTCATTGCCACTTCCAGCATTTGATTTTCTTTCTCCAGACCCAAACAGCTCTTTAAATTCTTTATAATTTAACTTCTTACTATGAGTAGAATGTGAAGTATCCTGACCATCATTTCCAAAACCTGACCTACCAAACTTAAAGCCCTGTGCACCATCACCACTTCCAGCATTTGACTTTCTTCCAGTATTTTTAGATTTTTTTCCATCAGTAGAATCTGAAGAAGCATTCGAATTAAAGCTTCCAAAACTACCAAAACTTCCCAAACCAAAAGGCTTAGTAGAATCTGACACATTCAGAGGACTAACACTTCCAAACCCACCAAAAGAAACGTTTTTCTGATCAGCAAAATCCGAAGTATTCTTGCCAAAACCGCTGAAAGGTCGGTACTCCCCCTTTGTTTCATTCTTGTTGTAAGTAATAGTAAATCCTCCAGAAACGTTTTTCTGATCAGCAGAATCTGAAGTGTTCTTGCCAAAACCGCTGAAAGGCAGAATGTGGCTGCCATAATTAGGTTGGTATTCCCCCTTTGTTTCACTCTTGTTGCTCAAGCTAATAAATCCTCCAGAAGCGTTTTTTTGATCAGCAGAATCTGAAGTGTTCTTGCCAAAACCGCTGAAAGGCAGGATTTGGCTGTCATAATTTAAATTAGATTGGTACTCCCCCTTTGTTTCACTCTTTTTTTGATCAGCAGAATCTGAAGTAATTTTGCCAAAACCGCTGAAAGGCAGGACTTTTACTTCACTCTTTTTGTTTGATCTAAACCTTCCAAAACTTCTGTTATCAGTGCTGTTTAAGAATGGATTCGCACTAGTACCACTTGTACTATTAATATTAAGCGTAGGTTGCTCGCCAAAGCCACCAAACGAAGAACTTGGTCCAGCCACAATTAATTTTTCTGCCTTGCTTTGCACACCAAGCAAACTTGTGTGTTGCTGCATTTTTAAGTCATCCCC